TTATATAGATATGAGATTTACATTATAGATTATTTTGAGAAGTAAGTTAAAAGTTATTTTTCAGCTTTTAACCCACTTTCTTTTTTTACAAAAAAACTAAAAAAAAAAGTTAAAAAGTAACTTTTAACCATATGATTCCATGTGGATCCAATATTTGATAAAAACATTAATAAAGTATTTGAGATCTCAGATATTATGGGTGGTTTTGAATGTTTTAAATAAGTATACTTTTTGACTTTTTATAAAAAAATGTATAAAAATGTAGAGAGGAGATGTTGGTTGATGTAACCTAAAAAATAAAAAAATAAAAAGTGTGAACTTATTTTGGGATGCCAAACCACCCCTTACCCTTAATTTTTATTTCTATGAATCTCAATAGACCCTCCATTAATTTATAATTACAATTAAAAAAAAATTGTCATTAAACTTAATTGATGCATAAATAAAATATTTGAAATATAATTTTTTACTAAGTTTAATAACTAAAATATTATTTTTTAATTAATTTTACTTAACAAAAATAAACAAATAATTTAGATTAAAAATAAATCAAAACATTAAAATTTAAATTAATAAAATTAAAAAGATTTATTTTATTGCAAATATTAAACTTTGAGATTTTTTTTCAAGCAAAAATTATTAATTGTCTTAGCACACTACGGCATTGTTTGCCAGGTAACTTTTTAGTAAAAATAATTAAAATTTAAGTATTTTTATTTGCATCCCATTACTAAGAGCTCATTTGAAAATTTATTATTTTAGTTAATTTTTTATGAAAAGATGTAAGAAAAAAAAAAAAGAGTAAAGAATAATGTGATGAAAGAGTAAAGAATAATATGATAACTAGATTTTTAATTATCTTTTTACTATTTTAATTAAAAAACTACTCCCCAAATCATGGTTTTAAAAATTGATTACTGCGTTGTTTGCCAAATAACTTTTTAGTTAAAATAATTAAAAAGTCAATTGAAATAGTTAATTTTAAAACGAGCTTTAAGTGTTTTTATTTGCATCCCATTACTAAGTGCTCATTTGAAAATTTATTATTTTAGTTAATTTTTTATGAAAAGATATAAAAAAAAAAAAAGTAAAGAATAATGTGATGACTTGATTTTTTTTTTATATTATTTTTACTATTTTAATTAAAAAATTAAACCGGTGGGCCGGTCAACGGTACTCGGTCCGGTTCAGATTTGTGTTGGAAATCGTTTGACTTACAGAATTGACTTATTTTATTAAGGGGTTGTTTAGGGTGTCCTAAATAAATGTTTTTTTTTTACTTTTTGGATTAAAAAATTTAGGAAAAAAAATGGTTGTTTGGGATAATTTTTTGATTTTTTATGAAAAAATATGTATTAAAATTTGTATAAATTAGTGTATAGGAAAAGATTGGATGGAATCGGCGGTACGGTGGGATGAATTCAGGACAGTGTATGCAGAGTGTAGGCTGGGATACGATTCCCTGCTTTTCAGGCATTGAATTAGAGGTGATGTTCGGCCGGCGGGGGCCCACCACGGATTCCGTTTTGCTAATCAAACCGTTCAATGTGTAGAACTCATCAAGTATTATATGTTTGTAAAAAATCACATTGATTGGATATCGATAGCTATCTGATCGAATTAGTTTTTTTTTTTCAACCGTTAACTATAACACCATCCATTTCATAAATTTAACTGATTTGATCATATAATTACCAATATCCGATCAGCGTGATTTTTCACAAGCATCTAGTACTCGATGAGTTCTATAGCACGGTTTAGATTATTAAAATGGGACCCGTGATGGCCCCCACGAGCCGAACAACATCGTGTTATTTGTACACCTAAATAAGTGCAATTTTTCCAAAAAGTCAGCTCCACTTATGGGACGTCAGAGTTGTCTGAAATTTAATTATGTGTAAAATTAATTTTTTAATATTTTTTTGATAAATAGTGATAATTTTTAAAACTTTTTAAATAATTTTTTGACTTTTATCTTTTTTAAGACATATCAAACCAGGCCTAAATCTATTATGTTATACCCAATCATAATTTGCCTGAACCAGTCCAATATATTTATATATTACTTTTTAAATATTTATAATATAATTATAACGTCGTGATTTAATCTGACAATTGAACTAATAACTTATCCATTCAATTCTTTTTTTTAGTCACACTCAGATAGCATTTGGTAATATTTATATTTTTTATTTATGTTTACAAATATTTTATAAATTGATTTTTATTTATTTTTAGAAAAACATAAATAATAAACGCGTTTGGTTTGGACAAAATATTTGAAATTTTTTGAAAATATAAACTAAAAAATATGTTTGTTAAGGCCTAAAATTTTATTTATTTTATTTATTTTTAACAATGGGATCATACACATTGTAATAAGCATCCATAATAACCATGTTGATACAATACTAATCATAAATAAATTTAATAACCATATTAGTAATGTTCATAATAACTTACAAACCATAATAATAGCATCTCAATTCTTTCACAAACCATAAAAAAAACATCTTCCCCCTAAATATTATCCTTTTATTTATTTATTTATTTTTGTTTGGGAATCATCTAAAACCCACCATTCACAACATCTTCATAGATAGATAGATAGATAGATACAAAGAGAGAAAGAACAAAGTTAGAGAGAAAGAGAGAGAAGTGGCCATGGCTATATGTAACATGGCATCAGCAGCTGCAGCTGGGCTTGTACTCTCATCATCATCATCAAGTAATGCTTTGACATCAAGCTTTTCTTTTAGGACTGGTGTAGCATTTCCTCTTAAGAACAACAACAACAATGGCAGTATTTCAAGAAGGATGATAGTTGTGCATGCATTTGAAGAAAGGAGAACATAGAGAAGAGAGGGGAGACAGAGAGAGAAGGGAGGGGAGACATAGAAGAAAGAGAGAGAAGAAATGGGAAAAAAAGAGAAGAGAGAGAGAATGACTTGATTTGCTGAAGTTTCAATCAACATGAAGTAAATGAAGATGATAAGATTTAGATACAACTTTTATTTTACCGTTAGGAGAAATACATTGAATTCGGGTGCTCCAAAGATTTGAACTATGGTCGTTATGCCGACAACTAAGTTACTGTAGCTTCGCTATAGTGACTTCCGCTACAGTGCCAAATTTATAAACCAATGAAAACACCTTTTTTCAATTTATATTTTTTGGGTCAAATGTATAAGCTGAGAACTAGTATTATAAATAAAAAATTTACCAAAAAAGTTTTTAACATAGTTTTTAAAATTTTTGTAAATATAAACTGAAAATTGAAAACAAAATGGTTACCAAACAGACCCCATCAATTCAATTTTAAAACATTGCCCCAAACTACTCTAATTGTCAGAGTTTATTTGACATCTTTTAAATAACTACACTTGTTTAGATAAGTACAATTCTTTATTTTTTTACATATTTTTTTTATAAAAAATAAAAAAATATATTTATTTAAATTATTCTAAACAACCCCTAATCTAGATGTGTAAATTTGGCGCAGCCCTACCTATGTCAGACCTCACAGGCTCCTGCTAAAATTCAGGCTTGCTTGCCCAACACATGGGTCAAAAAAATTAGGCCTAGGGAATATTCGGACTTTGGGCGGACCGGTGGGCCTGGATTTGAGCTTGGGCTGAGCTTGAACAATTTTTTTTATATATTTTTTTATAATTTTTTCACAAAAAATGATACTGAGTCTCACGTCGATCTTTGAGTGGATCCTGAGTGGGCCGATGGATCGACTCAAACGAACTGAACCCGACTTCAAAATGATGGCTCAAACTCAGATCAAAAGTCCCAAGTTGGACTGGAGTATGGGTCTAACCGGACCTAATTGGGCTGACCACCCTAAACCAGGAGCAGACTTTAAGCCACCCACGGACCATTCACCACTTTTACACTCTTCTAATCTGATAACGGCTCCGTTTGGTAGAGTTGTGAAAAAGTGGTTATAGATTATAACCTAACAGATTATGGCTTGTAGTTGTAAACATAAGCTATTTACCTGTTTGGTACAGCTGTGGGATATGGATTTAAGCAGCAGAGTAGTGTTTGATTAATAAGCTGTAAAATAACTTTTTCCTGTATAATTGTCCTTTCTGCTCTTCTATGATCTAAAAATGATTATTTTGTCATTTTTTCAGTTTTAATTTTTAAAAATATATTTCATTAATAAAAGTTAATATATTTAGTATTAATTAGTTTCAATTAATATAAAACTTGATATATTTGCTAAAAATGTAATGGAAGTATTATTGTCACAATTATTTTCCATTGTAAATTAATTAGTATCAATTAATTGCTTAATTAGTATCAATTAATAATAAAATGATTAATTTAGTATCAATTAATGACTTAATTAATCTCAATTAATACTAAAAGTATTAATTAGTATAAGTTAATATTAATATTTAATTTTTATTAGTGTCAATTAATATTAATAATCAACAATTGTTATTAATTAATATCAATTAATAATTAATTCATTACAAAAGTATACAATATTAATTTATTAATAATTAATACCAATTAATATTGATTTTTTTAATTAATATTGATTTTATTTCTTTTTCTTCAGAAATATACAATTTTTTATTTTTTAATTAATATAAAAATATACAATATGAATTTATTAATAATTAATACCAATTAATATTTATTTTTCAATTAATATTGATTTTTTCTTTTTCTTCAAAAATATACAATTTTTTATTTTTTAAATTTTTTATTTTTTTAATTAATATTAATATTTGGATATTGATGAGGGCATTTAAGTAATTTTAGTCCTCACACCAACTGTGCGCTTAAGTAAAAAATTTAAGCACTCCTTGACCAGCTTTTGAGATAAGCTGAGAAATAGTTTAATTTAAGTTATAAATTGATTAACTTAAAATACACCAAACACAATATTTTAATTTAAATTAAAGTAAAAATTAAAATATACGACTTATAAACTCTACCATACATGGCCAAGATAATAAAATCGTGACTTTCAAGAACGATAAGGATAGAAACCGAAGTGACATCAGACCAAACCGCGAAGTAGACACGCCCCGCGTGATTTCATCTAACCCCTGACGCACGCATTTTTATTTCTTCTTCTTCAACGACCTTCTTCATCTGAGTCATCAATGGCGTCCTCGTGTTCTTCCTCAATCGATCAAGTCAGGTTTCGGACTCAAGTCCTCGCCAGACACCTCCACCACCCCGATCTAACCCCACCGTCTTCTTCTCCACTCGAACCCGCACCATGCCTGAACTACTCTCCTCCGGAGCTCTCCGAGGGTTTCCAATTCGATACTCGCGAGATGCGAAAGCTGATGGACGGCCACAACATGGAGGACCGAGACTGGCTGTTCGGTCTCATGATTCAGAGCAACCTGTTCTGCCCCAAGGTGAGGGGCGGGAGGGTCTTCGTCTCTCCCGATTACAACCAGTCGATGGAGCAGCAGAGGGAGATGACTATGAAGCGAATTGGGTATTTGTTGGAAAAAGGGGTCTTCCAGGGTTGGCTCACCGGGAAAGGCCCCGCCTCCGAGCTTCGAAAGCTCGCGTTTTTGGAGGTTGTTGGGATTTTTGATCATTCTCTCGCGATTAAGATTGGCGTCCACTTCTTTCTATGGTGCTTTTACTGCTTTCTTTTTTGTTTTTGATTTTCTAGTTTTAATTATGAATTATATGATTTTTAGAGATTGACCTTATATAGTTGAGTTCATGACAAATTAAAAGTTGAATTTCTAATCTATTATGATATTGTGGGTAAAATTAGGGGAGACTTAAAATTTTGAATAATTTTTTCAGTTGAATTGAATTAGATGTTGTTTCTCTGTTTGAGTTGAAGAGTAGGTGGCATCAACTTGTGCAAAGAATGGCATTGATGCATTTGAAACTATGATTTTGCTTAGAAATATTTCTCTTGGTTGAAATTCTTGGAAATTGTCCAAGAATTGGATTTAGAGTTATTTACATAACATTGATGGCTTATGTATTGAAAGTGACGTTAATTTTGCTTCAATCTTATTCCTTTTCTTCTTTTCCCTGTGATACTGTTTAGAATAAGGAACCATAGGTAAATCCAGTTAACAAAAGGCCACAAGTCTCACAGGCTGCCTTGTTGTGAAGTGAAAATAACAAAAGTTAGAATCATACACTGATATAAGGATGGGAAACAGAATCTTGTCATGATTTAGAGTTTAATGTTATCTTCTTTAGTAATATTATATTAGAGACTCAGCAAAATACTTACAGGGCGGTGCCACTAAGGCTCTAGGATGTTCGCATGAATACTGTGGAAAAAATAATACTAATAATAGTATATGTTTTGGATGATATTTGTCATTTTTGTAATTTTTTTTGAATACCCTACGCACCACTTGTCAAGTTGTCACCACCACCTTGGGAGCCACTTTGTCACTTTGAAAAAAAATATAAAATAAATGAACACCATGAGCTTTTGGTTCTAGTCCATTACATCAAGATTTTGAAAAATCTTTTTGTCTAGCCCAGTACATTTCAAAAAAAAAAAAAAAAAAAGTTTTGCTTTCTTACTAACATCCAAACCCGACTTCTTTTTAATTTTTGAATTTTTTGAATGTCTACGAAGTTAGCGCATTGACCAAGAGTTCATGCATCTTGCTAGGAGATTAGAGGTTCGTTTTTGTCCACTTACATGCCCCTTGTATTTGTTTGAGATCTTTATTATGTTTTTGTGGATTTGTTGTAAATTTGTGGTTGTGTGTTGGACTTTCTTCTATGGTTGAATGTTCAGTTTGATATAATTCTCATAATATTTGTAATTTATCTTCTGTTGATTGACAAAAAAATGTTTACACTGACAAAAGTTTTTGGAGCCACCACTGGATACTTACTACTACTAGCCAATGATATGAGAGAACTGTAAAATTGGAACTAAACCTCATAATAACTGTGTCTATAACAGTGTTCATAATCCCATGATTTGTTTCCTTTCTGGTATTATTCCTAGCCTGCCCTTCCTCTCCCTCCCTTCCTCAACAAATATACATATGGATAGTCTGGTCTAAAAGACTGTACATGAATATTTTTGTGCAAGTTTCCTTAATACCTTTGACTTCATAGTCTTTGTTTGATGGAGGCTCTAGACTCACTGTCACAAATGGATGTCTCTGTATTTAGTTTCCCAATCTATTTTTTCTTTTTCTGCTTTGAAGTTGTTTGACAAACCATGTTGTAATGTTTTCTCGTGGTACTTTTTTTATCTTTGTTTTTGTCTTCTCAGGTGACAAATGGCACTGTTCTCTTAAACAAGCTTCTTCTAACTTTTTTGTTCTTTTTCATTTTCAACTCCATTGTAATGCAAACCAGAGCAATTAACCTTGGTTGCTTAACTCTAAATTATAATTCTAGTGGTAGATTTCTTTGAAGCTAATGCCTTGTTGAATGAGATTATAAGTGAGTCTAAAAGTTGTAGAATTTAGTTTGCAACTGCAAGCTAACATCTTGGTGGTCGTCACGTAACAAGATGTACCCAACTAATCATAAAGTTCACTCGTTATCAATTAATTCAGGGGTGGTGCAATCCAGTTTTTTGGCACAAAGCATCATCATGAGAAGTGGTTGATGGACACAGAAAATTACGTGGTCAAGGGTTGCTTTGCAATGACTGAATTGGGGCATGGAAGTAATGTACGTGAAGCCTGTTCAATCAGTTAGTACAGGGTGTTTTAACCTGTTTATGAACTTTTATTGTATATTTAATTCATTTATTGCTTTGTGGTTTATGTTTTGTTTTAGGTTCGAGGCATTGAAACAGTTGCTGCATATGATTCAAGCACCGGAGAGTTTGTCATTGACACTCCATGTGAATCAGCCCAGAAGTATTGGATTGGAGGAGCAGCTAATGTAAGAAATTGTTTTCTGTCTTTTATTTCATTTCCCCTCTGATTTTGTTACTTCAAATTTCTGGTGTATCACTTCATTGTTCTGCCTTCAGCATTACTTCAAATTGACATGTTCTTTATTTTTTTTTGGGGATGTTTTTAGCATGCAACACACGCGATAGTCTTTTCACAGCTCAATATAAATGGAAACAATCAAGGGGTCCATGCTTTTATAGCCCAGATCAGAGATGAAAACGGCAATATCTGTCCGAACATCCGTATAGCTGATTGTGGTCATAAGATTGGTCTGAATGGTGTTGACAATGGTCGAATCTGGTAAATGAAATATTTTTGGGTGCCAAATTTAGTTTCAGTCAGACAACATCTTGTAAATTGGAAGGAAAAAAAAACAAAAAACTCAAAGTTCTGCCATTTTGTGGTTTTCCAGGTTTGACAATGTCCGGATCCCCAGAGAGAATTTGTTGAATTCTGTAGCTGATGTTTCTCCGGATGGGCAATATCTCAGTGCGATAAAAGACCGAGATCAGGTAAATACCTTTGCAGATGACTAGCATCTTTTTCTTCCTCTTGCTCTCATTGTCAATCTTCTTCTTCATCTTGCTGGTCCAAAGGTGAGATAGTCGAGTTACTGGAGGATTACTGGAAAACTGGCTGGCTCCTAAAAACAAACAGTTAAGTAAATTATACTTACATGTGTTTATGAAAAAATGTGGTTATTTGCTTTAACAGAGTTGCGGCATTCCTGGCCCCATTGACATCTGGTCGTGTAACCATTGCTGTCAGTGCAGTTTACACATCAAAGGTAATAGAATATAACCACCACATTTGTTTGTTTGTTTTTTTAATTATTATTTTATTTTTGTATACTCTTTATGTGTGTTTGTGGGGATAAGGGAATGAATGAGTCATCCTGAATTCAATTTGTTAGGGATACGTCATCTTGTTTATTCTCTTGTCAGGTTAGTTTAGCAATTGCCATAAGGTATGCATTGACCAGGCGAGCCTTTTCTGTTGGACCTAATGAGCCTGAAGTCCTTTTGCTTGATTATCCAAGTCATCAACGGCGGCTCTTACCTCTGCTTGCAAAGACGTTAGTATGCTGCCTACTGGATCTGCAGTATTCTAGTTTATTTAAACTTCTCTACGTTGCAACATATGGCTTTTTCTTTCGAATGCATTACATAAGGAAAGTTTTATTGTTTATTTATTTATTTATTTTGTTTGTGTGTGTGGTGGGGGAGGAGTAGTCATATATCTTTCTTTAGAATCTGCAAATTATTTGCAGACTCCCATTTGCAGAATGTCAAACTTATGGACAAGTGGAAAATATTTTGCTTCACTGAGGTCTTCACTTCTTTGGTTCTAATTCTGAATTTGTGCCTTGCAAGTACTATAAGGTGGAGTTTGGTGCTGGCTTTTTTAGTGGCTTTTAGCTTTAATCTGAAAAAATTGATGTGTTGGGAATTGCCAAGAAAGTTGCTTTTTTGGTTAATGGAAAAGTTGACTTTGGCTTTTTAGCTCTTCATGTTGTAATGTTTTCTCGTGGTACTCTTTTTATCTTTGTTTTTGTCTTCTCAGGTGACAAATGGCACTGTTCTCTGAAACAAGCTTCTTGTAACTTTTTTGTTCTTTTTCATTTTCAACTCCATTGTAATGCAAACCAGAGCAATTAACCTTGGTTGCTTAACTCTAAATTATAATTCTAGTGGTAGATTTCGTTGAAGCTAATGCCTTGTTGAATGAGATTATAAGTGAGTCTAAAAGTTGTAGAATTTAGTTTGCAACTGCAAGCTAACATCTTGGTGGTCGTCACGTAACAAGATGTACCCAACTAATCATAAAGTTCACTCGTTATCAATTAATTCAGGGGTGGTGCAATCCAGTTTTTTGGCACAAAGCATCATCATGAGAAGTGGTTGATGGACACAGAAAATTACGTGGTCAAGGGTTGCTTTGCAATGACTGAATTGGGGCATGGAAGTAATGTACTTTGATTTTCTAGTTTTAATTATGAATTATATGATTTTTAGAGATTGACCTTATATAGTTGAGTTCATGACAAATTAAAAGTTGAATTTCTAATCTATCATGATATTGTGGATAAAATTAGGGGAGACTTAAAATTTTGAATAATTTTTTCAGTTGAATTGAATTAGATGTTGTTTCTCTGTTTGAGTTGAAGAGTAGGTGGCATCAACTTGTGCAAAGAATGGCATTGATGCATTTGAAACTATGATTTTGCTTAGAAATATTTCTCTTGGTTGAAATTCTTGGAAATTGTCCAAGAATTGGATTTAGAGTTATTTACATAACATTGATGGCTTATGTATTGAAAGTGACGTTAATTTTGCTTCAATCTTATTCCTTTTCTTCTTTTCCCTGTGATACTGTTTAGAATAAGGAACTGTAGGTAAATCCAGTTAACAAAAGGCCACAAGTCTCACAGGCTGCCTTGTTGTGAAGTGAAAATAACAAAAGTTAGAATCATACACTGATATAAGGATGGGAAACAGAATCTTGTCATGATTTAGAGTTTAATGTTATCTTCTTTAGTAATATTATATTAGAGACTCAGCAAAATACTTACAGGGCGGTGCCACTAAGGCTCTAGGATGTTCGCATGAATACTGTGGAAAAAATAATACTAATAATAGTAAATAGGCTTTTTCTTTTTGGCTTATTTAGTCAAAAAGCAACTTTTTTAGCTGATTTGAAATATGGCCGAAGTCTATAACCCATATGATTGTGGGTGTGTTTGGAATGGCCATTCCTAATTTAACACGTGTCTTGTAATTACTCTGTAAATCAATAATCCTTGATGGTGGTTGTTATATCATCATTTCATCTTCAAATTTTTTAATCAAGATTTCAAGTTGCTGAACGGAAGAAACATGAGAGGACATCTGTATTGGCATCGGCTGACTGTTAAGGTTTTTAGTTGCTTTAGACTAAATTTGCGATACTGCTCTCTTGCTTTGTGTGTATTGACTGTTAAATTATGAATCCAGACTCCATAATATTGTTACTGGAATCCTGCACTACATCTTAGAATTCTTCAATAAGTCCATATTTTGGGGAAATATGTGGCTGAATCATGTGGCTTTGTCACAGTTTTGAAACTGTATGGATGTTGAGTTGATTGGCTGATTGGACCCATTTAAGGATTCACAATGTGTCTATCGCTACAATATTTTGTTTAAACTTGGTGGTGGCCACAATAAAAAAATAAAAAGCTATGAAGGTGTCTGATCTTGGCTTAATGTCCCAAATTTTATTTGGTTACTGTCTTGAAATTGAACATCCTAATACCATTAGTAAATATATGGTGACTGTCTTAACCATGTCATCAGTTGACTGTTATTGTGACACATTTCCTGGTCTGTTTAAATTAATTTATTTTTATTTTGACCCATTGCTCTCCTGAATTGCAGATATGCTATGAGTTTTGCTGCTAACTACTTGAAGATGATGTATGTGAAGAGGACACCTGAATCAAACAAAACCATCCACGTTATTTCAAGTGCATTCAAAGCAGCTTTAACTTGGCATGACATGCGAACTCTTCAGGTCATAAACCACAATTTACAGTTTCAGAGTTCACCCTGTTCCTGTTTAAGCGTGCTGACAAAAGGTTTTTTATTTTTTTTAAAATTTTTTTTATATCTGAATCAGGAATGTCGTGAAGCCTGTGGGGGACAAGGTCTGAAGACTGAAAATCGGGTCGGCCATCTGAAAGGTGAATTTGATGTACAATCCACGTTTGAGGGGGATAACAATGTTCTCATGCAACAGGTATGGATGGAAAATGGCTTTGTTTATGATAAAACCTGTGTAACATACTGTTTGACATCTTATATGAAATAGGCTTTACAGAATGCAAACACAAAATCATATAAAAATTTGTACCAACTTCAAGCATATGAACTTACCTAGAGTAACGTGAAGAAAGCATTCACATCATGGACACCAATATATGTGGAAAACCCTCAATGAGGGAGAAACCATGGGCACACAATGCCAACAAGCAAATCCCAAATTCAATAAGTAGTTACAATGTTTCAAGTTTGATGACTTACAACCCTTTACTTTAGTAAGCATACTCAACTTCATGAACACTTGTTCATTCTTGATCCCATGGTGGCTGCAATTCACAACTGACCTCTTCTCGAACTGGATTGATGCTTCACTTCCACCAAACTTCGTAAAAGCTAGCTACATTGGAATGGCTCCAATGAACAACCAGCTAAAGCACATGGATGATGGTTTTAATGAGATCTTCTGGTGTTACACTGTTGGCTCAAACACATGGAAATCTCTTAGCCAGATTGGTGTAACAAATGAGACTTCAATCTAATGATATATAGAGAAAAACTCATGTAGGTTAATGATGTTGGAGAACAATGTGAAGAGATGAGGGTCAGCTCTGCACTGGACCTTTATTCTGAAACAAAACATACTCATTAAAAATGAGTCCTTGCACACCTGGCTCTGTTGCCACATAATTAAAAGTCCTCACTCACATGCACAACAAAGCTACAACACAAGAATATAAAGAGGAAAGTACCAGGAGCTTGCAAAATGCAGTGGAGAGAAGAGGAAGGTGTAAATATGTCTCTGCATCAGACTTCTTCACACAAACTGTGCTATCTTTTTCAAGTCTTCAACCCTTGGGTGTATAATGAAGCTTGAAAAAAAAATCTTAAAGGCCTTACATGTTGACCAAAGCAGTGGAGATGTCAACCCCTTGTTTCTGTCACAGATTGCTAGTTAGGTGAGGCACACAGGCATGAAGACCATTCATACAGAGACTTTCACTAGGAAGGGTTTCTCCACTTCTGAGGTTACTTCAACTTCAGAAAATCATTACCAAAACTTGGCTGGAACATTTTTTTTCCCTGGTGGGAAGAATAGGCGAGAAAACCACTCTTAACGTTTGAGAAGTGTTCGACTGCTTCTTCAAATGTCCATTGGAAGATTTCACTCGTCGAATGTTTGGAGAGTGATCTTCAAACATCAGCTAATGGATTTCCAAGGATCATTTGAGACTGACCATTCTGACCATTGTTTGAATGTTGAGGGACAAATGGCTGTTGTTCAAACGTTATCTGAAACAACAGTTACTGTAGAGATCTTCGTCTCGGCCACGATAATATTTGAATGGCCGCCCTGTTTTCTGCATTTTCCCCCTGTTTTCCTAAGACATTCTTGCACAATTGTTGTTAGACATTTATAAACAAGAGAAATGCTAGCGATCCCAAATTTACAACCCACAAATTTATCCACAATGATGTGGCAAGGGAGGTAGGCCTATGTAGTTGAGTATGTGACAAATCAAAGGTTGCCACCTATCATGCCACATCATTGTGGGTCAAATTAGGGAAGCATTTTTGGGGGTCTCAGACAGTTTCCTATAAACAATTATAAGACAAATGGAATGCAATGCTATGTTACTGAAAATAGCCAACACAATGGCATTAACATCATACAATCACGTTTGAATGGTGCCCTCAAAGAATTTGGAATTGGAGCCTGGATGTTAGTGTTTAAACTTTCTGATCAGCATATGTTGGTCCATAATTAGAAGCGAATTCTGGCCAGATGTGTTAGGGTTACCTGGCATGTTTCCAATGGGGAAGGAGATCGGCCCTTGGCATCGAATCCTCTTCCTTGGTGGGTGGTCCTTTGAGCTCCAGGAGGAGACGGCAGATCAGAGGGGGCATCGGAGGTTGGGGATTGTAGAACGTGGCTCAGGTCTACGGCGAGAGGTGATTTTGATTGGGTTCGAAGTGAGTTGGGTCGCAACCAAACTGCGGTTGGCTTCGGGTAACATACGGGCACAATTCTTGGGTCGTCTGGATGGCAAGTGGCGGAGTGCGGCGGTTTGGACTCGTGGTGAAGAGGATGGTGGGATGTCGTTTGAGATTGTGGTTACAAACGATGGTAGACGCCATTAGGTCTTTATCGCTGTGTCAAAGGTTATTATATTTTTATCTATTTATTTTAAAATGTTTTTGTTAAAAATTATTTGTTTTATTTATTTTTTACAAAAATAAAATAAAAGAAGAGAAAGGGAGAGGAGAAGAAAAACAATCTCAAGCCCAACTCTCCTATTTATGATGCAAACAAATCATCTAGTGACCCAAACAATAAATAAAACAGCTCACAAGCCCAAACAAATGTTTGTATGGGTCTAAAAAAAATCCTAAGCCCAATAAAAATTCCCAAGCCCAACTCTTATGTTTATAGCTTATAAGCCCATACAAATGTTTGTATGAGTCTAAAAACAAATCCCAAGCCCAATAAAAATCCCAAGCCCAACTCTTACGTTTATAATTCCCAACCCTAGCAGCTGCTGCTGCTTCTTCAGATGCTTCTTTGTAGCCTGGTTTGCTTCTTTGTAGCAGCATAACCCTAGCAGCAGCTGCTGCTTCTTCGCAGCCTGGTCTCTCTCTCTCTCTCTCTCTCTCTCCCATTTTCTGTGTCGCCATCACTCCCATCTAGTTAGATCCGCGATTCTATCTCGACGGAGACGCGATTCTATCACGAATCTTGCTACGAATCGCTGAATCGCGATTCTAGACGAGAATCGTCTCCTATTCAGACGATTCCTGCTACTAAGCTTCAAATGTCCATTGGAAGATTTCACTCATCGAATGTTTGGAGAGATCTTCAGACATCAGCTAATGGATTTCCAAGGATCATTTGAGACTGACCATTCTGACCATTGTTTGAATGTTTAGGGACAAATGGCTGTTGTTCAAACATTATCTGAAACAACAGTTACTGTAGAGATCTTCGTCTCGGCCACAATAATATTTGAATGGCCGCCCTGTTTTCTGCATTTTCCCCCTGTTTTCCTAAGACACATTCTTGCACAATTGTTGTTAGACATTTATAAACAAGAGAAATGCTAGCGATCCCAAATTTACAACCCACAAATTTACCCACAATGATGTGGCAAGGGAATTAGGCTTATGTACTTGAGTATGTGACAAATCAAAGGTTGCCACCTATCATGCCACATCATTGTGGGTCAAATTGGGGAAGCATTTTTGGGGGTCTCAGACATTTTCCTATAAACAATTATAAGACAAATGGAATGCAATGTTATGTCACTAAAAATAGCCAACACAATGGCATTAACATCATACAATCACGTTTGAATGGTGCCCTCAAAGAATTTGGAATTGGAGTCTGGATGTTAGTGTTTACACTTTCTGATCAGCATGTCCATAATTAGAAGCGAATTCTGGCCAGATGTGTTAGGGTTACCTGGCATGTTTCCAGTGGGGAAGGAGATCAGCCCTCGGCATCGGATCCTCTTCCTTGGTGGGCGGTCCTTTGAGCTCTAGAAGGAGACGGCGGATCAGAGGGGGCATCGGAGGTTAGGGATTGTAGAACGTGGCTCAGGTCTACGGCGAGAGGTGATTTTGATTGGGTTCGAAGTGAGTTGGGTCGCAACCAAACTGCGGTTGGCTTCGGGTAATATACGGGCAAAATTCTTGGGTCGTCTAGATGGCAAGTGGCGGAGTGCGGCGGTTTGGACTTGTGGTGAGGAGGATGGTGGGACGTCGCTTTAGATTGTGGTTACAAACGATGGTAGACACCATCAGGTCTTTATCCCTGTGTCAGAGTTTGGGGATGGTTGGGAGGGTGTGGCGTTGGTTTTCAAGGGCTTCGCTAGAGGACAGAGTTGGGTTGCGAAGGCTAGCCAGGTGATGGGGGCACCAGTGGCAAAGAGAATTGCGCTACTTAGTGTGACTGATCTGGGTAAATCGATTCTTGGTGTGGCGAAGGAGGGGTGGTTTGGCTTGTTGCATAGGGCTTTGGTGGGGAAAGTGGGTGTGGTGGGGGATAAGGGGGTTGGGTTTTCCGCCATGATAGAGTGGGTTGGTCAATGGTGGAGATCTTCGGGGAAGGTGGAGATCCGGCCAGTCGGGGGTCAAGACTTCCTCTTCGTGTTTCCTTCACGATGGGCTGCTGAGAATGTTGTGCGGCGTCGGTGGGTAGTCGATGGCTGCGACCTTACTCTGCGATGGTGGTCACCGGCAGCTTTGTGTGACACGAGGAAGTCCACGCTGACGGTGACGTCAACGTGGGTGACGGTGGTGGGTCTACCGATTCATCTTCATGGGTTGGAAACGCATAGGGCTATCGGTGAGAGGTGAGGTGGTTTTCTGGAGGTCGATGAGCTCGCAACAGATCTTGGAGTGGTGCGATTGCGAGTCCGACGTCATGGTGGCATTTCGACTAAGTTAGTGCTTTGGTGGGAAGCCTGGCAGTATGTGATACCTTTGTGGCCAGAAGTTAGGTCAACGATTGATGTGGTGTTGCCGATGGTGGAAGCTCGTGCTAGCCTTTGGTCGGGGATGGATAGTCGGTTGGGCAAGTGTGATGAGAGGTGAAATTTAGGGAATGGAGGATTTGGTGGGGTTGATTTCAGATTTGGCGAAGATTTGTTGGGGCATAGTAATTGGGATAGATCAAAGCCAAATAGGCATGGGGAGTGGGCTTGGGGTGAGGCACATTTAGGCTCACATAAAAAACATGGGGTTAGTACTGGGGGTATGGGCCAGTTCAATGGGAAGCATAGCATGGGCCCAAGTAATTCTAGCCCAGTAACAACAGCATACTGTATACCCAGCCCACAGTTGAATACATCCACATGTTCTAACCCGTCTATAGACCGGGTTTTTGGGTCTTTGTGTGCTGGTGTTGGATCGCAGTGGCAACCCGACAGCTCTGGTGGTCTACTGGTTGACGACATGGTGGCACGACCTTTGTCAGTAGCCCCTATTTTGCCGACAAGGAGCCTCAAGTCTGGGCAGTCGGTGGCGGAGGTTAGGGTACTACAACGGGATGACGAGCTCACTAGGGTGGCGGCACAAGTGTCGTTGGAGGTGCCTCGTGTGCAGGTGGTGTCAGAGGACCTGCTGTCGCGTAGCTCGGTACACTTGCCCATGGAAGTAGTGATTGATGGGGAGTAGGAGAGGTCGGTGGTACTGCCAGAGTTGAGTTGGGCACATTCGGCTGATGAACTGGCCTTGGTGGTGTGCCTAGAGGGGATCGTTGATGGGCTTTCTGGGCTGCCATATCCAGACCCAGAACCTGAGTTTGAGCCGGGTGCAGAATTCTATATGGATCATCCACTATCTTCCGATGAAGTATCAGACTGGGTGTTGGATCGTATATCTGAGGTTAGTAAATCTTTGGGCGTATTCTTTGAGGGACATGAGGATGAAGCTCTAAAATTATTCTTTGTTACTGAAGCTTCATGGACTGTGGGCGGTATGCGTGGACGGGCAGTGTAGTTTGCTGGTCAAAAGGATAAAGGGGGTAGGGAGTTACGAAGACAAGAATGTTCTATAAATTATGATCAAAACACACGAGGAGGCAGTCGACACATAGGAAGGAGCGGGGTGGTCCCTTTTTGTTGCCATGCACCTGAAAATTCTGTCTTGGAATGTGCGGGGTTTAAATGATTGAGGGAAACGAACGGTGGTGAAGTCCTTATTGAAGAATGCTAGGGTGGACATGGTGTCTCTCCAGGAGGCAAAACTAGAGGTTGTTGGGTCGGACTTGGTGTGGGACTTATGGGGGGGGAGGCATGTAGAATGGGCTTTTCAACCATCTTTGGGGGTGGCGGGGGGTATCTTGATATGTTGGGACAGTAGAGTGGTCATGAAGGAGGGGAAAGAAGTAGGGGGATTTTCTTTCTCGTCTGTTTAGATGTGTTGAGGATGATTTTTGGTGGGTGTTCACGGGGGTTTATGGTCCCGTTCAGGGGATAGAAAGGGCAGCTTTTTGGGAGGAATTACAGCATGTTGCTTTTTGATAGGGAATGCCTTGGTATGTTGGGGGTGATTTCAATGTTGTTAGAAGCCCACTGGAAAAGACTGGGGGGAGTCAGATGGGGAATTCGATGAGGGACTTTTGTTTTTTTATTGATGAGATGGAGCTGCTAGACCTGCCATTGCAGGGGGGCGGCTGCCATTACAGGGGGGCGGCTATACCTGGTCCGGTGGTCGAGTGAGTTCTCGGATTGATAGATTCTTGGTTTCTGGGGATTGGGAGGAGCATTTTTCTCAAATGCTTCAGTGTAGGTTGCATCGTTTGACTTCTGATCATTAGCCAATCCTGTAGGACAGTGGGGGAGTGCAGAGCGGTCCTTCGCCGTTTCGTTTTGAGAACATGTGGTTACAAGCAGATGGCTTTGCTGAGAGGGTAAGTGGTTGGTGGGGGAATTATAATGTGGCGGGTTCACTTAGCTACAGATTAGCCCAGAAATTGATACTTCTTATGTCTGATCTGAAGAGGTGGAATCTCAAGGTTTTTGGCTGTTTGGCGGTTCAGAAGACAAACATCTTGTCAGTTTTGCAGGGGTTGGACGAGAAGGGAAGTGAGGAGGATCTCTCTGCGGAGGATGTGGCGAGTAGGGATAGGGCTCGTAGAGATTTTGCGAGGCTCGCTTTGATGGAGGAGATTAGTTGTCGTCAGAAATCTAGATGCTTGTGGTTGAAAGATGGGGATTGTAATACAAAGTTTTTCCATCGCATGGCGAATGCTCGTTGGCGGGTGAACCAGATAGGGAGTATACGGGTGAATGGGGTGTTGCTTTCGTCAGAAGAAGAGGTTAGGGCTGGTATAGTGGCATTTTATTAGCATCTTTTTCATGATGAGGGGCAGATGTGGAGACTGGGGTTGGAGGGTGTGGTTTTTTATTCCATTTCTGAGGAGGACGAACAGTTGCTAGAGAGGCCTTTTACTGAGGAAGAGGTCTTGGGTGCGTTGAGGAGCATGCCTGGGGATAAGGCACCAGGGCCGGATGGTTTTTCAATTGCTTTCTTTCAGCAATGCTCGAGGGCGGTGAAAGGGGAGGTGTTGGATGTGTTTAACTAGTTTCACCACTTTGGGCAATTTGAGAGGAGTCTGAATGCAACTTTTATAGCTTTGATTCCCAAAAAGGGAGGGTGGAGGATATCTGAGATTTCCGGCCTATTAGCCTTTTAGGCAGTGTTTACAAACTATTGGCCAAGGTGTTGGCTAATAGGCTTCGGGGGCTGCTACCGGGGGTGGTATCAGAATCTCAGAATGTTTTTGTGGGTAGGCAACAGATTTTGGATGCTGTTTTGGTGGCTAATGAGTGTGTGGATTTGCGGCTTTGGTAAGGGAAATGGGGGATTATTTGTAAGTTGGATATTGAGAAGGCTTATGATAATGTCAATTGGAAGTTTCTTTTGGACATGCTGGAGAGGATGGGTTTTGGAGAACAGTGGAGAAGGTGGATACATTTTTGTATCTATACTGTTCGGATGTTTGTGCTAGTTAATGGGACACCGGCAGGTTTCTTCCCCACTTGGAGAGGTTTACGGCAAGGCGATCCACTATCTCAATTATTGTTTATTTTGGTTATGGAGGCATTGAGCCGATTGCTTTCTAGGGCAGTCCAAGCGGATTTATTGTTGGGTTTTGAGGTGGGGGAGGGGTCTCCGTCTTTGGTGGTTTCTCATCTTTTTTATGCTAATGATGCGTTAATTTTTTGTGATACGGAGGGTACTCAGATTGGCAACTTGCACTGTGTTTTGTTATGTTTTGAGGCGGTGTCAGGCCTGCAGGTTAATTTGGCAAAGTCAGAATTGATTCTAGTGGGTGAGGTTGCTCGATTACCGGTGTTGGCAGTCGTCTTGGACTGTAAGTGGCAAGGTTTCCAGTTTCCTATTTGGGTCTTCCCTTGGGGGCTTCTTTTAAGGAGACTCGAGTGTGGAATGGGGTGGTCGATAGAGTTCAACGACGCTTGGCAGGATGTAAGCAACAATATTTGTCTAAAGGGGGGGAGATTACTTTGATCAAGAGTGTTCTTTCTAGTATTTCGACGTACTTTATGTTTGTGCATGTTATTCTTATGGGGGTGGCACGGAGGTTGGAGAAATTGCAACGGGATTTCTTGTGGAGTGGGAGTGGGGAGGGTTTTCATTATCATTTAGTGGCGTGGGAGAGGGTTTGTTCTTTGAAGGAGATGGGGGGTTTGGGTGTGTGGAATTTAGTGGTGTTTAACCGGGCCTTATTGGGTAAGTGGTTGTGGCGTTTCGTGGGGGAACGGAAGAGGTTATGGAGGTGGGTGGTGGTGGCTAAATATGGGTAGAAGAGGGGGGGTTGGTGCTCAAAGAGGGTGGTTCACCCACATGGTTGTGGTTTGTGGAAGGGGATTTGGTTGGGGAGGGACGCCTTTTGGGAAAGGGTTCGGTTTCGAGTGAGGGTTGGTGATCGAGTTCACTTTTGGCAAGACCGGTGGGGTGATGGCTTGACTGTGGCGACCATGTTCCCTTTGCTTTATGCTATTGCTGTTGATGGGGAGGAGTTGGTTGCTTCGGTTAGGGAGACTCAAGGGCAATTCGTTGTTTGGAATGTTCGTCTTCGTCGTGCTGTACAGGATTGGGAGCTAGACCGATGGGTGGATCTCCTCGATTTTTTGTATGGGTTGCAAAAGGGAGGGGATGGAATGGATTTTATGGTATGGGATGTCCAGGGCTCTAAAGGTGTTTTCTTAGTGTCCTCTTTTTATGGGGTGTTTGCCGGAGGTGTTGGTGGTGTGTTTCCATGGAAATGTATTTGGGCAATGAGTTCTCCTTCTAAGGTATCTTTCTTTGTTTGGATAGCTGCTTTGGGCTGTATCCTCACTATTGATAATTTGATCTGGCGGAGGCACGTGTTGGTCAATTGGTGTTGGTTGTGTTGTTGAGATGTGGAAACGGTTGATCATTTGCTTGTGTAGTGTCCGGTGGTGTCACGGCTTTGGTGTAGGGTGGTTGCTCTTTTTGGGTTGGTTTGGGTGCAATCAGGTTCAGTGTTGGATGTCTTGCTCAGTTGGGGTAGAGCAAGGGTGGGTAAGAGGCGGCGGAAGGCTTGGTTACTTGCTTCTCATTGTTTGTTATGGTTGGTTTGGTTGGAGCGTAATAGGCGTGTGTTTCAAAAAATGTGTCATTCTTTTATTTGGTTAGAAAGTAGGCTTCTTACGATATTGATAGTTGGGTTACTGTTTCTGTTGATCCTGATGTGTTGAGGTCACTATTCAACAATGAGGATAGACCCTTTTATTTATCCAAAAATAAAAAATAAAAAAAAATAAAAATGAGGATAGACCTTTTTAGTTTCATGTTATTTTATGAAGCATAACAGTTAGAAATTGCGCAACTTTTCTACTGAATTTTATTGTTTGAATAGAAGGTGGCATTTGTTGCATCTGATGAAATTTGGGTAATTAATGGGCTGAAAAGTGTGGTAGCAGACTCTGAGTTGTTGGCATGGGATTGCATTGTGACGGTAGTGGTAATTTTTATTTTGAGGTCACTCTTCAACAATGAGGATAGACCTTTTTATTTATCCAAAAATAAAAAATAAAAAAAAATAAAAATGAGGATAGACCTTTTTAGTTTCATGTTATTTTATGAAGCATAACAGTTAGAAATTGCGCAACTTTTCTACTGAATTTTATTGTTTGAAGATTTGTGTCCTTGAAGCATTGGAATTGATGAATGGAGTTTATGAACTTAGGTTAGCAAGGCACTCCTTTCTGAATATATAGCAGCCAAGAAGAGGAACAGACCATTTAGAGGGTTGGGACTGGAACACATGAACAAATCTTGTCCTGTCATCCCTTCTCAGCTCACAAGTTCTACCCTCAGGAGCATCCAATTCCAGGTAATGAAATTCTTGCTCTATGGCTATTCAAGATGAGTTGTGTTGAATTAATAGGTTGGAATATCTCACCATTTGTCTGCGCCAGACTGATATATTTTGCCTAAGAGAGCGAGATCTACTTAGTCGCTTTGCTGCAGAAGTTTCAGAACACCAAGCACAGGGACAAAGCAAAGAATATGCATTCATTCTGGTGAGGATACCCTCGCTTAATTAAAATTGTAGTCCTGCACCCTTATTCAGTTTGTCATTATATTTGTTTTCCTTTCATGTGCCAAGGTCAAATTGCCTTTCTGCATCTCTCTATCTCTCTCTCTGTCTCACATTTTCTTCTTCTTCTTCTTCTTCTTCTTCTTTTATTTATTTATTTTTTTCAACCAGAGTCATCAGCTTGCTGAAGACTTGGGCAGGGCCTTCTCGGAACGAGCAATTTTCCAAACCTTTATAGAGGCTGAGGCAGCTGTATCTACTGGCTCGTTGAAGGTAAATCTAAGAAACTGTTTCCTACATTTATCTGCATTGGCATTTGTTGTTTGATTTATTCTTTGTGCCTTGAACTCATATTTGTTAAGTTCTGCAACATGTCATAAGTGGAAGGTGCCCTTAGTTTGAAAAGCAGGATGTAAATATATAGAATAGAGTTCTTTCAATTTTGAGGTCTGAAGGAAAAATTATTCAGTGTCCACAGGGCACCATCATGCCACTGACCAATCACCAATTACCATACCCCATGTTGTCTCCCGAAACACCAACATAAAATGATGGGCCCCACAATATTCACCAATCCCATTCAGTGCTTAGATTTTCATCCTTGATTTAACATACAGAATTTGCCCCTGGACAATATGGTCTTTTTTTTTTCCAATTCAAGAATGCAAAGCAAAAAACATCACTGAATAATATCCATGTCCTTCGTGCAGAACATATTAGGTCATTTGAGATCCATGTATGCGTTGATCAGCTTGGAAGAAGATGCCTCATTCCTCCGATATGGGTACTTATCACCGGATAATGCTGCTGCAGTCAGGAAAGAATTGACTAGACTATGCACTGAACTACGACCTCATGCATTAGCCTTAGTCAGTTCTTTTGGCATACCCGATGCTTTCTTGAGCCCCATAGCTTACAATTGGATAGACGCAAATTCTTGGTCTTCTGTTCAACAGTAGCTTGGCGTTTGTGGTAAACTACTTTGAAGTCAATGAATCTGCATCATCATAATTCAGTAGCCATTTAAGTGAGGCAACTCTTTGTAAAACTTTTTTTTTAATTTTTTTTATTTAAAGAATAAATATCTTTCATTGTCATTTATTTTTGTATCCTATCCTGACACGTCGGATAAACTATGTTTCATATCTATATTGCATCTTTTACTTGGTGATGATGTTTATGGTGCTTCCATTACTAATTCCCTTTTCCTTGTAACTTGTAATTAATTGGCAATTCTATATTATGCTCAGAACTGGATTTCCTTCTCTGTCACTCTCTCTTCCCTAACCTTTTGGTATTGACTCATCATATGCAAATCAATGAGTTAGTTTCATCACATTCGGAGATGACGCCAACAAGTACTAGTGATCTTTATAGTTCTGTTAGGGTTGTGTTTCGAACCTTAATTGGCATTTCCATCATACTTGTATGCTTTAGAGTTACCATGAGGACACCTCCTATAAAAGAAGGTTCCTTTTTTCACATTGTGCCCTTTACTGTCACTGGTTCCGAGCTGAGCTTTGCTTGCCTTTCTCTTCACCCGCAACTGTCCTTGTCATCTTTAGCTTTCTACTTGCAATAATCTCGCTCCAGTTCGACTTTTGGACTCTGTACAATTTGTAATTAAAATCAAAGTGAAAATTTGTATTACTTATACCCACACAAATTATATATTTTTATATGTAATCACTACAATTATTATATACTATTTACTTACATAGATCAATTAGGAAGCACTGACTCGTCTGTTAAGTCCACGAATCAGTGTTCGACACGTGTTTGACATAGACACGCGTTGCACACGCAGTCGACACATGTCTGACACTCAGTCTGTCATGTCTTTTTTTCTTTTTTTTCTCCTCATCTCAGACACGTCCTGGACAAGTTTGAGATCTTAGCCTGAGAGAGAGAAGAAGACAACGAAATACCTGAAGATCTATTCAAGCGACATGTTTGAGACTCCATCAAGCACTATTCAAAGTTTGCAAGAGAGATGAGAGAGGGATGATAAATTTTCCATCTGCGATCGAGTGGAAGCTTCCTGTTACTGCAACAAATTTTTGTTCTCTCTCCTTTTTAGTTGTTTTTTATTCCTAGAAAAAAAAAATGTATGTAACTTTTCACCTACCAGGCTAATAAAAGGTTCTACCTAGAAGTCAAATGGTCAAATGGTTCCACCTAGAAGTCAAATGGTCAAATGGCAAACATTTGGCTTCCACCTATCAGCTAAATGGTTAAAATAACTATTTGAATGTTTTTTTTTTTCCGCTGAATGTGTGATATGATTCATTTTTTAGTGTTTTAATTTGCGTTTGTGTGTTGCAATTGAATATTTAAATTTTTAGTTAGTGTTAAATTATTTTTTTATAAAATTAAATAAAATATTTATATATTTGAGATATATTATATAAATAAATATATTTTTAACGTGTCCTTAGCGTATTGTGTCTGGTATTTTTTGAAAATTAACATGTCAGCGTGTCTGTATTGTGTCATATGTCCGTGTCCGTACAACATAAGATCAATACATGAAGAAATGATAACATAACTAAAAAAAGATAAAAATATATTCTTATTGTTTTATGATTTAACAAAATTTAGATTTCAAAATATATATATATATATATAAATTAAATAAATATCCTTCTCCATAATATCCCAAACAAACATAGAATTTATATCCTATCCAACAAAATAATCATTTCTTAACATCTGCTCTCATGACTAAACAAACCTGTGATACATATCCTATCTAACCAAATAGTCTCAGGACTATGAATTCCAGGATTACAATTCGATGGATTCTAATCCCCTCTTATTCAGTCCGTCCAAAAAAACACACGCTAAGAAGAAGAAAATTATTCGTAAATATATTTTTATATGGAAAATTCATATATGAAATGGTGTGTCAATAATTTTTTTGAAAAAAGATTAAAAACTCTAAAAGGTGGGATCTACCAGGTGATGTGATTTTTTTGTTAACTTTCATTCTTTCTTGCTTTTTTTTTCTTTTTTTTTTGCTTTGACACATCATTAGAGTTCAAATTAGAGCTCTATATTTAGAGCTCTCTATCATTTCCCTTTATATTAATTGAACTGAATTCTTATTTTTTAGCTTATCATTGCTATAAGTGTTAAATTAGTTGGGGGTAGGGATGACTCGGACTGTCCACGGAATTAGTATCTTCTGATTGACAATTTTTTTTAGGGGTGCAACTTGGACGGGATCGGTTGGGTTGGGAGGTTGTTCAAGCCCAGTTCAAATTGTGTTGAGACTTGCCCAAGCCCGAATTGTAACCTGAGGTTGTCTGCCTAAGCCTGACCCGAGCTAAACCCGAATTGTCCGAGTTGCCCGAATTGCCTGAATTGTAAATGAATTTCAGTTTTTTTTTTTAAAATTTTAAAATTTAAAATTATTATTATTTTTTTTATTATAGAAAATCATTAATATCATCAAAACAAATAATTTATATAATGTAAGAGAAATGCCACTATAGTAATCCTTACAATTTAAGATTTTATGTTATTTATATATATAATATATATTCAATATGATTTAATAACATAAATTACTTTAATATCATGTAATGACTAATAATTTATATTTGATATTTAATATTTTTATATATCTATATATGTATAATTCGGGTTTCGGGTTACTCGGGTTGTTTGACATCTTTGCCCAAGCCCGTCCAAATTTAATTCGGCCTTCTGAATTTTTGCTCAAGCCCGTACCGAATTTGAAAATATTTTATCCAAGCCTTAAAAAAACTCGGATTGAGCTCGGGTTGCTCGGGTTGAGCCCGCCCAAGTTGCACCTCTAATTTTTTTGACATGAATTTGAATATGTTGTAACTTGATAGCATGAATAATTAGTTATACATTTTAATTTTATTTCTATTAAAAGTTGCTATGATATTTTTAAATTTTTTATGTAATTCTATCTAACTAAATAAAAAAGTAGATAAAATATGAATTTTAGGGTAATAATTTTTTCATTTCAAATACATATTTTTTTAGGCAAAATCCGCTATATTCCCTGTGGTTTTGGACTAAAGGATAACACTAATACTGTTAACGAAAAATGTAAAATGACCTTAATACCCTTCTACTTTTTTTCTTTTCCTTTCTCTGTCTCTTCTATTATACAATTAATTTAATTTAATTTAATCACATAATTTTTCTAATTTCTTAACTCTATTTCTAATTTAATCTCATATTACATTATAACAAAAATATAATGTATAATATCATATAATAAAAAATATATATTATAAATATAAGTATATTTTATATATGTATATATATTTGAAGCAGGTAAACAATATATATATATATTATAGCAATTTGGATCGGTCATATAGCGATCCCAATTTTTTTCACTTTCAGTTGTTGTGCTTTGAACTCGAGTTCTGTGGTTGGTTGTTGTTGTCTATATCTTGTTTCCGTCCTTAAATTCTTTGTATTTGAGTTTGGGAATTAAATGTCTTTTTTTTATTATATTATATTAAAGTTTAATATTTTGATAATAATCATATATGTTAGACTTTTCAAGAAATTTTTTTTATGTTTGTTCTTAATGCATTAAAGTGTTATTATGACGGATAATAATCATATGTGTTGGGACTTTTCAAGTAATTCATATGTGTTGGATTTCAAAGAATTTTTTTTTATACTTGTTCTTAATGTATTAAAGTATTATTATGAGAGTAAAACTTGGAAGTTGGGAGAAGTTAATAAATGCTTAGATTTTTTTTTTTAAAAAATAAAAAAATCAAGAAATTTAGATTGGGAGATTAGAACTCCCACAAAATTTAGGACTAAAAATCTCCTTTTACTTAATATATAATATAGATTTGCATTTTTCTATGGATCCATAGCATTAGCATTGATGCTTTACATCACTTTGCATTTCGTTTTTCTTTCAAGTAGTAAATATTTTTAAAAGAGTAATGGTTACACAAACTTAAAATTTGTAAATAAATTCTTTTTATTCATTTATTTTAAAACAAGAAACTCACGAAAATGATTTATTATTTAAAAAATACCACTCTCATTTTGGTAATGATTTTTTTTTAAATTTATATATATATATATAATTTATATTTACAAATCATTTTCCTTTTTTCAAATTTTCGTTATTTTAATAAAAAATAAAAACAAAATTTTTTTTGGTACCTACCATTCTCCAACCCCCAAAGTTTGCTGGAAAGTGAGGGTAGAAAACATATCCTACTTCAACAACCACGTCTCGTAGCGATAATTGCTGAACCTCTCTTTTTACTCATCTTCCACTCTCTTCTTTATTTATTTAAATGCCAACAATTCTTTTCAGCTCAGCAACTTTTCATATATAGACTTAGGCCAAGTTTGGCATGATTGAAAAAAGATAAAAAGTCAAAAAGTCACTATCCTATTTAAGTCACATCATCTTATTTAAGTCACATCACCTCTCTAACATATCACTTCAAACCCAACCCAAACCCAACCCATATTTCATAAAAAGTCAAAAAGTACACTTATTTAGTTTTCCCAAACTAGGCCTTAGGAGTTGTTGGGGTGTTTTAAATAATTGTTTTTTTTAATTTTTTGTGAGAAAAGTAGATAGAAAAAAGATGTATATTTAGGATAATTTTTTATTTTTTTACAAAAAAATGTGTATTAAAATATTATATAAAATAACAAAATTACATTATTGCCTCTATGTCCTAGAATAGTGCTGATTGAAGGATAGTACGAATTGCCCTCCAAATGGTGATAACTTCAGAACATATATATATATAGCATGAGGCTTTATGGGTACTATTCGGCCCGTGGGAGCCCACCACGGATCCCGTTTCAATAATTAGAACCGATCAATCTATAGAACTCGTTGAGTACTATATGCCTGTAAAAAATTACGTTGATCAGATATCGATAGCTATGTGATCAAAACAGTTTTGTATGAAAAAAATGGACGGTGAAAAATAAATGGCTGACAAAAATCTGATTTGATCACATAGCTATCCATATCCGATCAACGTAATTTTTTACAGACATATAGTACTCGACGAGTTATACACATTGAATGGTTTGGATTATCAAAATGGAACCCGTGGTGGGCTCCCACGGGCCCAACAGTACCCTCCAACTTAATGAATATATATATATATATATACTAGCGTATGCCCGTGCCTAAAGGCACGGTGTAAATAATATTAAGATTAAAATGTAGTTATAAAAATATATTTAATAGACTTACTCTACAATTCCAAACAAATCAAATATAAAAAAAAATTAAATATCAAATAATGCCAACACTATTTAAATTTATTATAAATTTAATCCCAACACTATTTAAATTTAAATTTAATCCCAACACTATTTAAAGCAGCTAGTGCTTTTAAGATGCATTTTAGAGGCTCTCTTGAAAAGTCTAATTTTTTCATAATTTTTTTTTTCTTTTAAAGCTTTTAGAACATATTTACCTGCATCCTTCTAAGTCTCAAGTTTAACTGTCATTAAGTGTTATTAATTTTTTGGAGCCATGCCCATAGACTTTGCTCGAGATGTGTTCGATCTAGAGGACGCTTTACCTGGGTCTTAGGATTAGTCGAAGTATGCATAAACTAACTTAGATATTTGATCATTCCAAAAAAAAAAAAAAAAAGTTTCTGTTAGAAAATGGAGAGAAAGTGCTCACACTTTGAATTGCCACAATTAGAAAAAGAGTGTGAAAGGGAAATTCAAATGAAAATTAGAGAACCAAACTACTATTTTATCAAATGCAAATTAATTTGTACAGATAGGTTAAAATTATTGAAATATGTTAAAATGATTTGGACCAATAGGTTCGAATATGGGACAAAGTTAAAATAATTTAGACGGTCAGATTCAAATAATTTGAACAAATATGTATATGAAGATGCAAAAAAAATTTACTTATGATGTCAAAATCTCAATAACTCATAACTTTACATTTGTTATTCCGTTTTAGACAATTGTTTTTGTTCCAATTATTTATTTATTTATTTTTTTGTTGTGAGATCTATCCATTCAAAATTACCGAAAGTGGCTTCGAGTGTTTACTTTATCCAAAAAAAAAAAAAAATGTTGTTTTGTTATTTTAATTAATCGAAAAATCAATCTATTTTTTATTTATTTATTTTTAAATTTCATATTCAATATTGATCTTATTATTTGAAAGATATCAGAAAGACAAATCTACTTATATTAATTTTGTTAAAAATAGATTTGTAGAACTTAAGTTATGCATTTTTAA